AGCTACGCGTTGCTAAATCGTCCTTAGTCACGGTTGACTAGTTTCTATTACATTCATAATTTTAATGATTATTAAAAATCTTATTGTTAACTTTACAGCATGTCTATCTGTAACCGATTAGTCTTAACCGTAAGCGATGGATTCGATTACAAGCTAATTATTTAGGATCACTTAGCAGCTTAGCTCTAGTTAATAAAATAATTAATCTTGATTATCGGTAAGCAATCTTAGTCGCAATTGTTGTAACATTAGAAAAGAAAGCCCTTAACGCATCGGCACGAACGATCTTAAATTGATCTCGCTTCGATGTCTTTCCTTTTTCGTTTCCGGGCGATTCTCGTCGACTGCGAGAACATAAGTTTTCGTCATTTGAAAATCAGAACTTCGGAAAAGATTTCTTCGTCTCACCGATGTAAGATTTCCCGAGAAAGCGCAACAGCTGAACCGAAATGGAGATTCCCCTTTCGACGCACAATTTGGCGGACACCTCGCAAGAATGCATATATACACGTTATGTATATACAGACGCACACACGCACATAATTGTATATATGCATTCGTGTATATATCTCCAAGTTTGCAACTTGTATATGTGTATACATATTTTTTTCTCATTTAATATTTTATATACGTAGACATCTGTATAATATAGAACTATATATATTCTCATGCCATATTACAACAATACAAACAGTCAATGTTAATGATAATTTATGTTAACTTGCGTAATGCAAGCACCACAGCTAGTATAGCAATTTGAGCAATACGTAATGCTTCCTTGTATCAGGATCGGGAGATTAACACGACGGATCATCGAAAAACATACGATGGTAACAAATTAATCTCCGTCACCCTCGTCGCGCTTGATTCCGTTCTACAAGGTGTCCCGAGAGCGACGAAAGTCAGTATCACGGTATTATCTCGTGTCTTTAATTTTTACCTATCATTTATATGTAATATAAATTATAATTTGAACAAAATATATTTCTGAGTTCGTTATTTATAATAATAATCTCTTTCTTATCTATTACTTATATAATATGTAACTTAATATATGTATAACTTAAAACTTGAACGAAACAATTCTTAATCCTATTATCAATATTAATCTCTCGAATAATAAACTTAACTCTTATAAAAATACATGGTTAAAATATAGTTACAAATTAAAACGATAATTTAAGTTAAGCCTTAATGGACGAAATTAAAAGATATTATACATACACTACTACTCAAAAGTTTCAACACGCTTTGCATTTTTGTTAATAATTCCATTTTTCATACATAAAACATGGAATTATGATATATCCTTTCATTTTCGATTATTTCGAAAGTATTCAATAAAGCCGTAAATTGGGAAATAATTACAAATGGAAATTATAAGTTTTCTTAAGTAGACAAATTCATCGACTAGATAAACATTTAAGAGAATAGTACGTAACAATATTCTCTATCACACAAATATTTACTTAAGACCAAAATTAATAACTGAAATAGGCTCAAGTGATTAATTAAATCTAACAAGATAAGTAATATGAGCCACAGGATATTCAAGTATAAATTACAAATCATTTATTAAGCAAGTAAATATATATATATATATATATATGTTTCAACCCTCAATTCGGGTCCTCATCAATACAATTAATAATGCAAAACCGAATTATTCGGAGGAAACCGCATTAAAGAGAGAATGCTGATACATTAGTTAATGGTCAAAACTATTAGAAGTCCAATACTTGTTGAAACTTGGTTATCAAATTATCCGATTTGATGAAACCAGACGAGTTATGCAAACCATGAGTAATCATATTATTATTAAATTGTCCGATTTAATAACAGAAGGAACGAGACTTCTACGGAAATGCTGATGGTTCGAACAATAGGCACATAATGATTTGTAATTTACGAACATCCTGTGTTGGCTCATATCGGCATTACTTATCTTGTTAGATTTGATTAAGACACTTGAAAAACTTCCTGAAAAAATATTAAGAGTTTGACTTTCATTACCAAACCTAAGCAGATTAGGCTTCGAGAAATAAAAAGTTTAAAAAGTAGGAAGTTCTTTTTCTAGTAAAAATATGTAAAATTATAAAATTTTATAAAATTATATTACAAAATATCCACAAACGGAGTGTGTTGAAATTCTTTTGAACGATAGTATATTTCGCAGTCTTAAAAATGAAAAAAATTACAGAAAACAGAATCGTCAATTTTTTTTACTACGAAAAAGATCAATCACAAAACAGCGTAGTACGCTTCCGGAATTCCGATACAAAACTCAGAACACCGTGTATAGCGAATCGCGCTCATAGGAAAGATTTTACCATTTTCTAACATTGATTGTGATAGATTTAAGCGTAATAAAACACGGTTGATTATGTCATTCCTATTTCCATCACATCATTGCGATTCAGAGCTAAAATGCATCTTTTTTTTTTCTTTCCGTAAAATGTCTGCGAAAACTCGAAGATTCTATCTAATTGCGGAAAAATCGAATTCCACTTCACCAAAAATTAGCATCAATTCATTTTAGCTCCGACTCGCATATTTTCCTTGATACGTCTTCATCGACGAAGCATCTAGCAGCCAGTAATGTAAATATGATCGCGATCTTTTTCTAACATTTATCCACAGATAATGTAATTATTTACACAACATCTCTATTTACATCGCCAGCTACAGCTTTACGCGACTATGTAATAAAAGAAAAGTAGCTTTTTGTACCGCTTGTCGCGCGCTCGCGTTTATAGACATCGATGCTTCGTCTTAAAAATACGATACACTTTCGATTTTTTCAACTAAATGCACGAATAGTTCTCTCGGTTATTTTCAAGAACGTTTCTGAAGTACCGTGTCGTAAAAAAAGATTTAGAGAGAACAAATCTATTAGCGTTAAGATAACAATTTAAAAAGATTTTATTCTAATTTCTCAAATTAATATTTTTACCTCACTCATTATTATGTCCTTTACTATAAATAATTGCACGGTTATTGTTTAAATTACCCCATTAATATTGTCTTATACATCATTTTCTTCAGTATAAATTATACGCATATATATTTGCTTTGTCAGCTAATTTAATAATAAATATATACAAATAATATAAAATATATATCTTCGTATATGTTTATATTCGTGGGTAAATAATATTTGTAGGATATTAAATCTTCTTAAAACGAATAACTTTAAAATCAAATTGATCAAATTACGTAAGACAAGTAACACCTGTTAATCAGTGTTATACTAACAATAAGCATGTCCCTTTATTTTACGACCGTCTTTCTTGCCAGCGATATGAATATCTCACAAGAGAAAATAGCCCTGAAAGAACTTGTCGCGGACTTTGCAGAGCATTACGTATTACGTCTCTATGTATAACATTTGGCAATGAATAGAGTGCTAACAGTTCTTATGCTAATTACCTCTAAGCGTCACAGATAATCATTACGTTACTTCTCCTTAATAACAACAGGGAGACTCAGGTAACAGTTTCAACAAGTTTTTCTTCTCGACGTATTATTCCGCTAAACAAAATTCCATTGATATTTTAATTTATACCTTTGCGTCACTCACATATCGAGGAAAAAAGATGTGCTTAGAATAGATAAGTATTTGTGAGTGTAAAATGAGATTATTGATATATTACGGTATAAAAATTACACAAAGTATATAAAAGATAAATCTTGGATATCTTTTTTTATATAAGCAAAATTTTATTTATTGGAATAATACGAGGGAAACGTGCTAGTTCGTATAGAAGTTATATAATACAAGGAATCGTACAAGGATTCGTAAAACTGTACAAGGATTCGTAAAACTAAGGATCTAGATACAAGATCATGGAATCAAAAATTTGTATATATACAATATATATAGCCAGCAGATGAATGAATGTAGGTTGTCAATCTAACAGCATGATTTCCTGGGGTGTTTACGTTATTTATTTTGATTATCTTTACGTTTTAGTTGAATTGCGTATTATTATATAAATAAAAACAAATGTTAAATGACATTTTAATAAATACTCTTACAGAATCGAAAATACTGGCTAATTTATATATATATTACTGAAAAACAGTAATTACTTATTTAAAATATTAAAAGCTTTAAACAACAATGCTTTTAATACTTAAAATAAGTAATCAATTACTACCTTTCATATTTTAAATTTGCCAATATTAGATTTCTGTAAAATTTCTGTACTATCTAATGTTATTTATTCCTTGTCATTAACTAAACGTTTTTGAAATTTACATTAAACATTTATCGTTATTTTTGTTAAAATTTTTAGCTAATGTTTGTATTAAGTTTGTATTAAGTAAATGTGTGTTTACCAAAATGTACAAATTGAAGATAATAAATAAACAATCAAAATACCTCAGGAATCAAGTGAAAAATTTTTGAATGATAATTTATGTTCATCTGCGTACGACTCGTCTATACTAATTTCTTCATTTAACTCTCGAGATTTTCAAATTGAGACTCAAATTTTGAGGCTAACATATAGTATAATATAAAACGAATAAAAAAACAGATGATTTCAAATGTCATGAAGAACTAGCATATATATTGCGCGTACAAAAATAAAATGTTCAAGATCGAGAAAGCTAAAATAGATAATATACCATACAATATCATATAAATTTGCGAAAATAGATTAAAGAGATTTATGATATGAGATACAATGAAATGAGACAACATCTATATATGTCATATAGAGGACAGTAAAAGATCTATAATACGAGATATTTGCAAGACTGCTTTTTGTATATCTCGAATACATGGCGTAAAAATTTATAAGATCATCAAAATATAATGATCTACGGAATAAAGGAACTACCGGATACGGAACCAAAAATTATGTCCTTTCTTCGAGAGCTACCGCCGTGATTCAAAGAACGAGCGGCAGCGTGCAAATCGTCAGAGTTTCTCGGTTGTTGCTGATTGATGAACGCTGGCTGATGATGCAGGCGTAACGGATGGGTCCACGCTGGATGATCGTTCCAATGGGAAGGATGTCTTGCCTAAGGGTGGCTGTGAGATCGCACGCTTTGCCGTCCTAAAAGAGCTGCCGATCGGCAATAGTCAATAAACAGTTAGCATAACTATACACGTAAGCTTCCTTCTCGAGATAACCAAAGAACATTTAGTAAGCTCAATTCTTCCCACAGAGAGATGAATTTTATCTCATCTCTCTTATCTTATTAATTTTTAAATCAAAGCTAACAATAAGATATAAAGATATATTTTTATTAAAATCATTTTTATTATGTGGATATTGATATTCAATATTTTATATTATGATAAATTATTATGTAATATTTAATTATGTAAAAGATGCGTTTTCAAGTCTTCTATTTCAGAATCTGTAAATTTTACTCTTATAATTTTGGCATTATACTGGAAAGAAAGGATCTAAGCGTCCCAAAGTTATCTTGATGAATGATTTATTGTCGGTACATTCAGCGTATTGTCATTCGAATCAACACGATTGACAACACGCGAAATAGAATAATTACTGCGAGATAGACATCGTATATATGGCATTCTCGACTATTCGCACATCTAATTAAAATGTATCAATTGTGTGACAAATGAATTGTAAATCAATCCTGGAAACAGAAGCCTCTTTAATAATAAATTTTAAAGAGCAAGTTTTATCTATATTACATGAATGCGATATAAATAGCATATGTACAATAACGAATCGAAAAGCGACTGGAAATTAATGGATTTAAAAGTGGATTAAAAATGGATGATAATCCAGATGTAAACTTATTAATTCGATGTAAACTTATTAACTGGACTAATTATTATTTTCCAGACAATATATTGTGCAATCTGCTTCTGTGCTGTGCGACGAGTGCAAGAAGCAGCAGTGATACGTCTTTTTTATTCGTTTATCGCGTTCGCATGGCAAGCACAATAATACACAATAATTTACCCCTCCTCTATAACATTTAGGCTGAAAACGATTAATGATTTAATTTGCATCAGCACATTATTCATTCTTGCTGTAACATAGTATATACATATCACTTCTCAATATCCTATACATATAGATAACATCAAAACATATTTACAGGATGCACAAAAAACATATAAAACAATGAATTTTTTGACGAGTTCGAAGTAAAATTTTCCTCAGTAAAAGTTCATCAGAAGTTACAGCTGATTTACAACTTTTTCAATATGAAATGTTTCAATAATTAAATCTTCAATAATTAAACTTAACAATCTTAACAATAAATAAAAGAGTATATAAATTGGAAATTAATTGAATATTCATTTTATATCCATTTAGATTTCTCTCAAGAACTCATTAAAATCTTGTAGCTCTTAATATTTATGGTTGACTCATTAAAGTTTCACAATTTACACATTTAAATTTAAATATAGAGAGAATATTATCTGAAAAACTCTAAAGATATCACCCTATATTCTTTTTATATATTTTATTCTGCATCCTATATAGAATAGTGTGCTTCGTAATTTAACTCGCTTGCGAGTGAAATAGATCGCCATTGAAAGCGGATGAATGAAAACAGCGCAATGGAAAAGCGGCGTGTTTTACATTGGTATTGTACTGCTGGAAAAGCGTGACATATCTGTGAAGCGTTAATGAATAATGAACCAGATATGTAGACGGAAGACACCTGTCCGCCCTGCGGATGACAGCGAAACAATTATTTAAATCTTGTCGTCCTTGAATGACGTGGGGGATCGTAGCACTAAGCATTCAACTAAGCGAGACGATTCTGTACTTGTCCAAGCTTCTGTTATTCGATCCTAAAATAACATAGCTCTGGCAGACAATTGCAACTATAAAAAAATTATAATATTACAGTCCCTTATATTCTTAATTACAAATTAACTTCTTATATATAATAGATTTTGATTCTTCTGCTTCCATCATAAATGCAGATTTTTTCCTATTTGTGATCACACATGCGGGATATGTCAGGATCTGCGGAATAATTTAGTAAGTTAAACAGAAGTTAGTATAAAAAAGCTATATATTATATAGTTGATATATATCATAAACTCATCGAGTCTTCATACTTTTTCGCACTTGCTGCCAGTACTATGGAAAGAATCATAAGTAGATAAGCGAAAAGGGCAAAACGATTTCTCTCTCTATGGAGATAATATAGCAAAAAAGTAGCTGCATAGTAAAATACATAATTCGCGGGGCATATAGAATTCTCTAATTAATTGATTGATTCGTTTCTACAAGCACGCCAAGAAAAAAAGAGATCTTATTAGGAGCTGCCTGGAGTCTGATCTTACATTTCGGTTAGTCTTTTTTTCGGTAATTCTTGATACCGCTTTCTCGTTAGTGTATGCTATCGTTTGTCCCATGATTCCGCCACCTATGGAATGCAATATTATGAACGAACCAGAACCGCTCAGAGCGACGAGATCGTTAGCACACATGTATCATGATTGGCACAGCGGAATATGCATGATCAGGTGAGAAGGGCGGCGTTTATCTCTAATTAAAACAGAGATCACACGGTATATCCGTGAGTTCTCGGAACTTGCACATTCACATATATGAAAATCGTGCACTGATGTGTCTTCTGTAAATCTATCGCATCTCCATTCGTGCTGTCTGTGGTCTTTTCACACAAGCAACGATTCAGCCTGATCTACCACCAAGGAAATCGTTCATCTGACAAGATCATTTGGTTTCTTTCTTTTAATTATGTATATTAAAATCTAATCAAAATCCATTGATTTATTTAACTAGTATTTAAATTCTAAAAAATATTTTTCGTAAATTCTGTCGTGTTCTTCTTTTCAAATTATTATACATAAGCAATAGTCTCTCGATTAAATGGAAATATTTTGGAGATTCACAACTTATAACTTGTTATTATAAAATAAGACTTTCCATTTTTTCAACTCCTAAATTATATCTTTTAAAGAAAGACTATAATTTTAATATTTATTAAAAAATTTACATACATTTTTAATGGATACTTTAAAATTCCATTAATTATACACCATTAATATATATATATGTACACATCATTAATTAAATCTGTATTATTATTATATATTTAATTATGTTAATGAAACTAAATAAAAAAATTAATATTATATCACGGTAAATCATTATAGAATAAATTACAAACTTATTCCATATTCAAATAATTATTTACATCAAATAGATATTTTCATTCAATTGAAAAAGGATATTAATTATTCATTGAAAATATGTGTCTTCCAATCATATAAGTTCTGAACCCGCAACTCAAATTAAGATATTCAGTCAGAATCCCGACAGTTGAGAGACATATAAAACACAAAGTAGTCTAGGTGGTGGATCTAGCATTTTGTGACATAAAACACTCATCTAACAAGTTTCAAGCGGAACGTGAGACGGCGGTTTACCTTCGTCGCTAAAGTGAGACCGGTTCATTTCGAGGAGGATTACGAAAACGACTCTATTTCCCGGGCGTATCTAGCGAGCGGTCATAGAGCGGATTAACCACAGATCCTGGACATTGTGTACTAGCCGATAGGCAAACAATGAGTTTGAGCGTAGGTATGGCGACAACAGCTTTTCGCCAAGTGAGAGATAGAGACAGAGAAGTGATATTTAACTACGCTGAGACAACGCGACATATCCTCATAGCAGGTACCTGCAATCAAGAGATTGGTCAGCGAAATTCGGTCGGTGGGTCTCCACTTTACTGACTAGACAGCGTGGGGACGTGGACAGTGCAGCGCGCTTTAATGGTAAAAAGATCCGATCTTTAAGGAGAGAACGAAGCAGTGTGGAGCATTGATTACGAAACGTCGATCGGAACGTGGTAATCGCGATAATCGCGTCAGTCTTCACAATCGAACGTTCTATAATTCAATTATCCCTCTTCCTCGTTCAACGTCCTTTCTTATACATGACAGCTACAACCATGCGGTTTAAATGTGTCTACACAGACATCATCGTAATAGATCTTAATGTAAGCCATTGCCAACGATTGTTACATGCACACTATTTCTGTGTATAAAGATAATACAATCTTGTATATAATCTTTCTACCAATAAGAGATCGCGCTGCGGAATCTACGATAAAGATTTGGGGAAAAGCGGGGGGCATAGGCGCCGACGCATACCCAAATTGGATCAAATATTTTGTTAAATAATTCAAGTTAATTGAGTTAAATTCAATAACAATAGTAAGTCTTAAAACAACCCGATTCTCCAGAGTAAAGAAATAAGGATTGGATAAAGGGTTGTATTACAGTTTTCCTATAATAAAAACTGCAACGAGACCAGAGGAAGCTCTTCAGAGGCACTAGTACTGTGGAGCAAGCAAGTTAAAACTAAATAAAAGTACAATACTCGGTTAATTGGCTGATATAAACTGGAGAATGATTATCGCGCGCCGTCGGCGCCTATGACGATGAGTAAGCAGTAGACGGTTATTAGATAGTTACCAATGTGAGTAAGTAAATTGTACGTAGATTATAGGCGTGTGTTAGATGTGAGTAAGGTAGGTTTTCCGCTTTAAGTAGACGCTGTTGCGCGCCGGGGAGTTCACCGCTGTGTCGTTACTGGAACATAGCCGGTGCTCGTTTTCACACACGCAAAGGACACACACATACTTTGCCATTAGCCGAACAGCTATGGCAATCCACGCGCGAACGTCGCACAGGATGTCCTTTCTCAACCCTTTCTTGCCTGACCGCAACAAAGATACATAGAAAGCAATCTGTGCCAAGTTAGCGGGGAAAATGTTTCAAAATTTGTTCTTTTTTTCGTTTTTACCGTATCTGTTATCAATATTGAATAAACTTTAATTTTAATATAATCGCAGCAACGATGTGCATGTTTGTGCATCGACCTTTCAAAATGCATATCTTCTGGAAGAAAATTGAAAAGTTCATCAGATAGCTTCTCGAATTTTCATGACCGATTATCATTATTGAACCAATTCAAATTAGCAATTAATTTAATGATTTGTTTCTATCTGTAGCGAAAGAAATAAAACAAAATAATCGCGTTTGAAAGCAATTTCAAGCAATTGGGCAACAGAGGGTTGAAAGGATAAACTCGCTCTCGCGAAGATGCTGAGACTGCATCTTTCCCTTCTAACTTCGAAAGTCAGTTGCACCAATGTTAACGAATTAAATAGTTCTTCGTTTTTGAAGATCAATAGAATTTTTTCCCCTCTCTACTTCTAATAATTATAGTAAGCTATTTTATGTAAAAAAAATGAATTGAATTATTTTTTATTTATTATAAACTGATATTTTTAACAGAATATCCGGTAGAGACATTACAGAAAAGCTTTCTGATATCTATATTACTGTGAAGAAAAAAAATTATAATAAAAAATTAAGTGTCGTCAGAATAAGCAGAAGTGATTGATAATCTTAATCGGGAGTTTAACAGCCACAATCACAGGTGCAATTGATTCCGGAACAATCATTGCAGTAAATGCATAACTACAACGTTTTCAGCGTAACGAATGACAACAGAATCTGACAAAAAAGATATTTGATCCTTGCGAAGCGTGGGAAGATCATTTGTTACAATATTGCCGGAATGTATCATTAGAAAAACTTACCTTCGTCGTCGCAGAGATGCATTCTGTCCTGGTAAGACGAACTGACCTCTAGGGATCACCATGCGCGCGTTGCCCTGAGCAGGCCGCGAACCCCCGTGCACTTGCAGTGTGCTCAAATGAGCGGCATATCCATCGTACAGTATTGTCGCCATAGCTTGATGCTTCTTGGATACTTTGCCGATGATGAAGATCTGGCTCGGTTTGAGACTTACCGCCGTGTACACGTTAATATCTTTCTCGCTGCCATACGCCTGATGGATTATCATACCGTGCTCCTACATCCAATTGATCATTATTAATTCAGTGTCAAAATTGTATCGTGTAGATTAAAGAAATATGGAGCAAATTGATCATAATTTAACTTGTATTCGTTCTAAGATGTAAAAAAAGAAAATTATTACATTTTCTTAATTTTGGATTTAAAAAATTGATATTTTATAACGGATATATACTTGTAACGGTACATTATAGAATGCATATTTTTATCGGTTGCCGGTATCCTGCACAATCGTCCTTTATCGTTACAGATCATTTTTTTAAAATTAAATTAAATTTAATAATAATTCATTTGTTAATTAGATTTATTTATCAATTAGAAAATAAAGATATCGTCTGAGAGAATTGATCCTTCATGAATATTTAATCGATTTATCTAGTTCTATTATTAGTTATATATGCTAACTATATACGTAATCCTAGCAAGCTTCGCACAAACCTTCACAAGCTTATTCAAGTAGGCAGCTTTGTGGGCGAGCGGATCCCTGGACAGGCCATCGGCAAATGAAACGAGACCGTGAGGAAAATTATGCTGCGACAGCCAGGAAACTACTGTCTGCTGTTGCATATCGGGTCTCGCGGTAATATAAATGATGAGGTAACCCAATTCCTGCCAATGCCTACAAGAAATAATGAAGAGCTTTATTTAATAATGTTCTTATTATCTTTTTAAAAAAGAAAAATATAAATTTGTCAAAATATATATTTTTATAGTTGATTTATAGATACAACGATAGGACATCGTTTTTGTTTAAATAAGTCAATTTTTGTTGTTATCACAAAATATCGAAATAAAAGATATCAGAAAAAATATTTGTAAAATTATTTTTTAATTGTTGTATAGAAATCAAGTTGAGTAATAATAAAGATTTAATCATCAACTATAAGCATCTTACATATACATTCAGTAACAAAGCTTTGTGATAAAAATTTTTTAATATTTTTGCATTTCACAGAAATAAAATGATAAACGCAATTCGTAAAATTCGTCCTAATTTATTCTTTATAATGCATTACCTCACAACGTCGACGGCACCAGCCCAGACTTTCGGATCTTTACCACTCACAGACTTACTGGCGGCAAAAGAACCGTCTATGCTAAAAACCACACATTCAGTTCTCGGCGGTATCACAGCCACGAAAAAATCTACAGATGTATGATCTCCCCTAGAACGTAAACATGCATGCATTCGGATTAAAAAAGTTTAATCATGCTAAATAAAGAGCTAATTTATATCAATTACATCTTTAATTATTTTCATTGATTCATCTGTATTCTAATGTTCATTCATGTCCCAGATAGCCAAGTCTGTAGAAAGCAGATTTTTTTAATGTCTACTACACACTATGTCAACAAAATGATAACAGAATTTCCAAGCGTCAGATAATGTTGGCAGGATCTGCTCAGTTTCTGCCAACAATTTGTCTTCACATTATGTAAATAGGCGATGTTAACAGAACACAAGCCTAATGCGGATGCAATTGATGGCAGACTGCCATCATTTTCTGCTCGAACCTGCTGACAGTCTGCTAGAAGACTGCAGACATTTGGCTATCTGAGTGTAATGTGAAATATTAATTTCAATCTTCCTCGACTAGTGTATTAATTATAATGAATTATAATTATTGGTTACAATTTTAATCCATGAGAGTTACAATTTATATCTATTTTAAAGAGGACAATACATTACCTTACAATCATCTTTATTGGATAAAGCCCATAACCTAACGTTTTGTCATCTGGTATTTTATAAATTATTCTACCATTCTTGTCAGTTACCTCGGTAGAGAGGTATGTCCACTCGCCTGCCGGTGCGTTTTTCATAATATGGATATCAACTTTCTCACCTGCGACGTAATGATAAATATTTTCTGTTTACATTTAATGTCATATTTTCAACGATTGAACATTTTTCAACATAAAATTATTATTAATAATAAATTTAAAATTATTATTTTTTATTATTATTATGATAAATTTATAAGTAAGTTATAGATTAAACACTAAATTTTGATACTGACAAAGGATTTACAAAGATTAATTTTAGACAATTTTTTTAAATTTTTTATGTATACCTGTTAAAGTTATCATATCAATAGGACTGTACATAAACCTAGCGACTAATATTTGTGGTACACCTTCCCTCACGATGACATCATTCGCTCTGTGATTGGCAGCAACATTCTGAAATATGTCAATGTAAGCAATACAACTAAAGAATTTTAAAATATTAAAAATTAAATTTAAATTAATAAAAGAATAAACCTTAATTTTAACGGAGGTACGTTTTTTATTCCATTTTTCTCTGGGTTGACCTGGACGGAAGCAAGTGAGATCTTTTTCCTCGTTGCCGAGCAATGGTGCATCGACTCTGCCCAATTGCCTCAAAATAAACGCGATCACATCCGGAGACTCCCAATAACTAGCGTGGAAGATATGCGGCAAGGCATTCGTAGGAAAATTAGTGAGACCCTCTGGACAATAGAGCGCATAATCTAGTCTTTTGGTTCCCCACCACTTTTGCATCACTGAAACGAGATAATAAACGCGTCAGACTATTTCAATATACTTAATATTATACACAATAATTTACTTTTTAAATAAAAAAATTCGCTTACTTAGAACAACTAACACAAATTTAATCTTGGAATTTTTCTAGATAAGTCTTTGAACCGTAGGTACAGCAAATAAATAACAATATAATAAATAATTTCTACTTACGGGCAGACACTGCCTGTAAAGGAACATTATCGATAATGCCTGACATTGTACTTTGAAGTGATATATCGGATAATCTTCTTAAATGCGACATTTGAAAATTGGGAACGTTCAATCCATCAGCGTACAGCTGCGGATTGGTCTGGATAGTCTCCACTGAAATTAAGTTTACAATCTGCGTTAAAATTTTTTTCCTAATTTTGCCACAAATGTTGAAAAATAGAAAATGTAACTTCCGTTCCTATATTTTCATAATTCTATATTTACAATCTTAATATACTTACGCAAGTGATAAGGTTGGCCGTTGCCGAGCGGATACTTTCCATATTCAGCAATATTAACCGGCGCAATTAAGGAAAATCTTGCTGAGATCAAGGGTTCTAATCTCGCAGCTACAGGTTCTGTAGGATGAAACAGATTGTATACTTGATTGACTAACGGCCTGGGTATGAAACTATTTCTGTCGCTCGATGCGGTGATCTTTCTGTAAGCGAGGACTAGTGCAAGCGGACTACCGAACATAAAAAAGTCACCCACTTCGAAGTCCAACTTGTTGTCACTGCAAACGACATGTTAATAAAAATCAATTAAGATTTTCATAATTATGAGTCAATTCTATTGGCATATAATGCATTATGTCTAATAAATAAATTGACGACGGGTCGTATTGAACTAGTTTTCCTTTTTGTTTTTTTTTTTTCTTAGCTATATTTATCGAGAGATCATTGATACAATCCTTGTGCTCACCCCGTGCCAGAAGACCTTCTTCGAGGAGATGGCGCAGAGAGATGCTTGCCGTCTTCATTTCCACTATTGTCATTGCCCTGCTGACCGGTACCCTCCAGAATGCTGTTTTCGCTACTGTGTCTCGAGTGCTGTGTCGCTTTGCACAGAGCGTCATAGGTCAAGATCGACCCTACTGAGTCGCTTACAAAGCATATTTGTCCGCTGAAACCTTTACCCTCGTCGCTCTTAATGAAATCATGGTACACTTGGTTGGCACTCATCACCACACGCGATACTGTGTCTTGATATTCAGAACTCGAGCTTGCTAGAAGCGGAATCGCGCCGATCGGAATGGTATCGTGCGTCACTTGCGGAGCGTCCATGCACGAAGGCGACATGTCAAAGCTGTATGGACTCAGGCTACGCAATTAAATTATAAAATTATACTAACATCCACAAATGATTTGAATGCAAAAGATAAATGATATTACCTTGACAAAATGCCCAAGCCTTCAGTGCAAATGGAAGGACAGGCGACGAATTTAATGGATACGTGGCCGACCATGCTAGGATAATGCTGTCTCATAATAGATTCAAAAGCTCCGCGGAATGTCGTTATATCTGACTTTTTTGCCGTTAAATCGACATTCGCATCTGAAACATAAAAATAATTCTGGATCAATACATGTTATATATACATATCGTAATCTTCTTGATTAATTTTTTCCACATAAATAAAATAAAGAAATATATGAAAAATAAAAATTCCATAACTAAACAGTTACATAGTAAAGAATCTATATAATTATACATATGCAAAATAAAAATCTATAATTTTCATAAATTAAGAAAAATTAATAGCTTGTAAATCATACAAAGAAAAAAACAAAAGAATTCGTACTTACCTAAAACACTGCCGCCGTGTATCACAATAATTAAAACAGTAATTTTGCACGGTTGATGCGTAGGAGAATGTTGAGGAGATGCTGGACATGACACGTCGATGCTGGCCGACGTGCTGATCTGCAGTCTCCTACTGCTTCGTTCGTTAGTGATACGTTGCAGATAAGAAGGCGAAAATATTGTATCCTCTGAAAAAGAAAAAGCATCCCCATTGTTATTCTCCGCGGTAGAAGAACGAAGAAAAATTTAATAATTTAAATTTGTTCTACGTTTTACCATATATTTCAAAAATGAAAATAATTACTTAGATGGTAAATAATACGACGCAAGCTTAATAATATTTATTACATTTACACTACAAGGATATTTTTTTAAATACGTATTAACCTTGCTCGTTTGCCGCAGATGGTGTCCGCACGCTCGTATCCTCCCCTTCTGCTAGAAGATCCAAAGAACTCCATTTAGCTAATGAAGAGCTATCTTCAAAGTCCTCTGTGTAATCAGAAACGTTAACACTGCTTATGCAATGTGCTTTTTTCTAGATTAATCATATATGTTTTGAAACAGGACTTGCAATAGTATATGAATCGAAAGATAAAATATAAAATATTATGTTTCAAAGAACATGATCTCACAAACAATAACAATTTTAACAATATTTGCCTAATAATTTACGATGTAAATAAAAATTCAATTGCAATTATATAGATTATTCAAATTCTAGATTATATTGAAATCGTTTCGCATATATTACTTCATCTAATACAATATCTATGTGAAAATTTATCTAACATAAGCAAAACGAATTAATTTTCGTTAATACTAATCTGTTAAGTCTCTTTACTACGTATAGCCATGCTACTGCATGCCGCATGTGAGCTTTTCGCGGAATTTCATGCTTGAGTCTAATCTTAGTCGCATGTCACGCTAAAAGATACAAATATTGTATGTGCCAAACAGCTCGATTTATCGTATCGTCTACAGCGTCTATACGCGTATTTTAAGGCCATTCTTTAGTTTTGTAGAAATTACATGTGTGTGACGGTTCTCTTTCTTTTTCTTTCTTTTCCTTTTTTTCTTCCTTTTTCCTTCGCAACTTATCTCGCTTATTACTTAATCACTCTACGTGTCCTACCTTTGCGTATAACAGGTATAATGAACCCAGCTGCAGTATGGGGGTGCGACATAAAAAACAAAGAGGATACACATAAAAATGCAGCACATGCTGTTGTTTCTACTTGAGTTATCAATGCATTGTTGCAAGACACACTTCTTTCGCATGATTGATAAGAATCAACAAAGAACATCCTTATAAGACTTATCAGTATCAGTATCATCAGATTACAGAAAATGTTCTTTATCCCAAGAGAAATTATACGTATACTATACAGAAATATCTTGAATACAGAATATCAGATATCTTTAAATAATGTAATGTCTAAAGAATTCGCAATAGATATTAGGGAGTTTTTGCAATACCGTTTATCCAGATACGGTGAACGTTAAGGTCAGGTTATCTTCTTCTTAACAACTAATTAAGAAAAGGATAACATGGCTTTAGCGTTCACCGTATCTGAATTCACGTTATTGCAAAAACTCCCTATTTCCTTGAAAATTTTCTCAACGTTAATTATTTATTTTATGTTAATTAATTTTGACATTAATGACTAATTGATATTCAATAGCTTTTTAAATTCTTTAAAATATTCAGTTCATTTATCTTTTAAATAATTTTTTTTTTTTCTTAAACTAATCAGATTCGACATTTATAATGTCATCTTATTGTTAAATCTTTTATTGATTTATTAAGACTCATTATGTGTACAATGGAAAGCAGCGTGTCACAGAATTATCATCTTGCTATTATTTATTATGAGTCGTGTTAATGCGTTTTTTTTTCTAGATTATCACAGGCATGCTATACGTACGCATGCGTCGTAATAGTCTTACCCTGACAATCGAAGAATTCGTCGTCGCTGCCGGATTCGGACTCCCTGACAATGCTTTCCAGCCTCCAATTTGCGAGCTGTATGTCGAAGTTCTTATTCGTATTTGGCGAATGCACGGGCATGTTCTTTGTCCACTTCTTGGTCTTCTCACCGGCCGCATTTCTACAACGCAGTTCACTTTTAGGTCAATTAATTTGTTGATACATTATCGATCGGAAACGTATTAGCTCGTCTTTTGTTATCAAACATTACTGACTGGTGACACGTTCTTTGTATATTCAGAATTTAATCGTAATTCTTAGAACTTAAAATTAATCATTTTCATTATAGTATTTATGATTGTATTCATTCTTTACTTTCTATTGTAGTTTGTTTTTTCCAAGCCTTTGATACATTACAAATGAAATTTTATATGCTTGTATGAAAAATAATCAGTCACAGACCATTAATTTCTGCAAAACACCCAGTCGATAATGTTAATTCAATCATATGTTAAATGGAATCTAATAAATCGTATCTGCGTTAATAATACTATTATTATCATATTATTCTGTTATCCTTTAGAATTGTATCCAGTTCCTCATTTAATTCTTTATAATAGTTAATCTCAGTCAAAGCTACAAATTACTAACGTCACAATTATTTGCTATTATCTTATCATTTTAAGAGAATAATAGCCGGTTTTCATAGGTTCTTATTTCTAGACCGTCTTAAGTATTTCTTAAAATGTTAATACGACTTTGCGATTAGTTTATGACAATTTACAATTAAAACTTGTGAAACAGTCCTAAATATAAACGTGACAATGAACACCGGCCAATGACTATTATCTGATATATATATACATAATGACGATAAGCAAATTCTATCATAAATTACATGCCTTAGAGAGTCAATAGATACAAAAATATTAAATAAGTATGTCGAATAATGTTTTCATAGTTATACAAAATCATTTTCCTGAAAAGCTATCATATATAATAAATTAAATAAATAATCAAATAAAAAATTTGTTTTTCATCTTTAATTCGTTGTCAGGAAAAATCATCTTTTCACTAAGATAATTGCACCATGATTTAGCGAAAGTCAATTAAATCTTTTTGGAAATAAAATCTTGATAGAAAATATAAGTTGATTCATCGGCATAACTGTCGACATTCTGCGTGAAGCAAATAGGGTGGAATAATCTTACTTAATCTCATCCAAATCGATCGGCGAGTCCTCGGGACTAATCTCGCCCTCGGAACTGGCCGCTGTATTGATGATGGGAATGTCGGATGGCTTCCTGACGGACGGCGGACTCCGCACCTCTTCGTTCTTCTCGATGCTGCCCAGGGTGGCCGCCAGCGTCTTAGCTACTGCCGACTCCTCCGACATCATCGTCGCGTTCGCCGCTGTCGCCGTTGCCGTCGTGATCGACGTCATTGTCGTCGTTGTCGCCGTCGCGCTCACTTTCCGAGTCTCACCGTCCTCGAGCTCGTCCTCTGAGTCACCGAGACCCATCTTCCGTTGCAGCGCCAATTGCGTCTGCCGCTCGATCTCCCTGATATCTTCCATCGTCAGACCGTTCCACTCGTCCTGCCAAGCCCAGGCCTGCCTGTGCGCCCGCACCATTGTCTTCCGCAGAGCTGGAATCGACCTTAATACGTCTCACGCACGGCCGACCGGGTGCACCGGTTAAAATTAACCCTTTCGATCACGACCTCTTGTATGTTACGGAAAGGAAGAAGCTATTTTAGTATCGGCAAACGGCAACGCCCGATATCGCGAATATAAAAATAATAGCACGAATTGATAATGAAATAAGTTATAATTCTGTTAATTCGAAACGAGATAATAAGTATTTTTATGGAGAAATAAAAATCTATTTTTATCTCTCGGATGTTTCGACTTTAATCAGCAAGTAAATATAAACTAAATTATCTAAATTAAAGTGTTTGTAATTAAAAAGTCTAAAACAATAATGGAGATAATAGATTTGGAATTCCAGTACATTTGAATTAAGTTTTGAATGAGTACTTAAATATAGCAATTTAATTCGCGATTAATTTTTAATTTAAAATAATGTAAATTAAAAGATTTTTAACGAAACAATGATATTCATGATCGAAAGAGTTAACCCTTTAGCTGCCGGGCTCTTTGCATAAAAATTGATATCATGTTAAATTTGACAAACTCAAATCAAAGCGTCGTTATTCATAGAAAAGCGAAAAATAGATAAATACTTAAGTTACAATGTACAGAATGTTTCAGAGTGCAAATTCCTTTCAGTTACTTTTTTTAGTAAATAGTTACTTTGCACTCTTTTTTGTAACTGTTTGCTTTCTAATTAATTTAACTTTAAATGTCATTCTATACAAATTCAAAATGTTTCTACACTCGCACAATGTCGAAGAAATTCTTTTTGACTCGTTAATTCCGACAAAATGCACAACTTCTTACAAAGGCATTCGGTGTACCGAACGTGTGAATACTTAATTCGCGTTATGAAGGAGAAACATATACTTAATTGGCAAGGCTGAAGTTTTTCCAATTTTGTTTCAGTTCTGTGTTACAAAGAAAAGAGCATGCGATATCTTTACTCAGAATTGTCAGAAAGACCAATCTCGTTTCTAGGAAATAATCTTTCCAAATCTTTTACCCGACGAAGAAGAAACGATTCCGCTCCAGATAAAAATGTCAAAATACCCGGCATCCAAAGGGCAAGATAGGGCAAAGAGGGGAGCACGTAACGGTACTAACCTACGTCGTGTATGAACTTTTCTAATTTCGTTTGCATACCCCAATAATGGAACTCTACTCGGCATAGCTTGTACGCGCACATTAGTGACTTTCCCGACGGCGTTGGCTGTTGCTTTCCCTAGCGAGAGAATCGCTAATGTATCAACGGTGAAACTACTTCAGCGGATAGGTGTAAAAATACTTTGAAAAAAAATAGAGAAAGAGTGAGAAAAATGGGGCATGTATACTTCCACATCGGCCCAATAATCTTCCAGCCATGTATCCTCCAGCGGGCCCCTTCCGGTCTTCTCTGACACGTACAGTTTGGGGTCCTCTTCCCTCACGTAGTCGGCCCCATACGGCTGATCCTTGACAATGTCGATTATGTCTTGGGAACAGATTATCGCGGAGTCAATCGGAGTAAATGTGGTACACACACACACACACACATCATGTTATTTCTTAATTATTAAATTATCAACGATCGCGTTTATTGCCTTATTAGAGCAATGATAAAAAATCTCTTTAATACTCAGAAAATCTAATTAACACATTTCATGCCGCGTCAGTTTTATTTCTGTTTACGTTTATCATAGTTATTAAATAATATCAATAATATGTATTTTACAGTGGTTAAAGAAAGTATAAAAATTATTATTATTATTATTATAAAGAAAAAAGCTTAAAATACCAATATTACATCATATATCGTTACATCATATGTAATTACCTACGCAATACAAAAATTCTTTTGTAATTCAGTTTCTTTTTATAACCAAAATGTCAAACGGCGTGAATAGAAAATCCGGTGACCCACACAGCACGAAACGTGTTAACTGATCCGAATTCAAACAGACAGAAACAAACGATGACCATTCGTCTATAGCGATACACAAAATCGTACACAAATTACAGCGAATATAGTTTCAACGAGAAATTTATTTTTCAAATTCGTCCCATTGTTACGACGAATATTTTTTTTAACAAAGTTCACGGTATTTTTGTTTTCAGGTTCAATCAGAATTCTACATCGCTGTTAAATGGCACGTCATTCCGTCATTTCATAATCTAGTCTAATCTCCTCTTTACCCACGATCCTGTTCCTGTAATCACTGCCGGTGAGATTGAAAACGTTTTCCTGGTGGCCGTCGTCTGGAAAGTAGTAAGTTTCGATCTCGACGGAGAACTTTCCCACGAACGGGCATGTGTAGCGGGTCTTTGTGTACGGATAGGCGTTCCATGCTTCCTCCTTGGCGATCAACGCCGACTTGGGCAAGAGACTTTTGAACCAGCCCGGCAGATGACTGCCCACGTGATAGATTTTGTGTGTATACTGCCCGTTACCGCCTGGTCCATTGCTGTACGGCTCGTTCTCGATTATCTCCACGCCGCTACCGGCACCCTTGCTCTCCTCCCGAGATTTTTTCTGCACGAGTTACACAGAGCGAACGGTTATTGATCACTTAAGGAGCATTCATCGTAGACCATAACATCTTTAGCCTTATCTTTATCGATGAAAGAACAGTCGCTGTTGAACAGGCATATTCGCAGTATATAAGGACGCAAATAGGAAAACAAAACAAAAAAAAAAGAAAGAAAAAGGATGAGATAGACACGCATCCAAAATAGGTAATCACAAAAGACAAAAAACATAATGTAACGTCGACGATATCGGATAGCGAACGTTTCAATGTATGATGCGTTTTATGAGACAAATTAATTCACATTAGAATCAGTATTGATCAGTTATACACAATTCATTACGGCTAATACGCATCAATAATAATTGACAACTAATATTCGATATGAGTTTGTATCATGAAATCAAATATACATAAATAAACTCAGCAGAAAATAGACAAGTGAGAATAAATCAAACTTCTAAAAACAGAAATCAGTAATTTACGATTCCGTCTAAAATTAACTCTCTGTAATTCACGCCTAGTTTTCGTAGAAAGTAAATGTTTATAGATTCGTATAAAACGTGCGAAATATAAATAAATCTCAATTAATGATAAATAAATCGGAATTAAATCGCGTTGCTGTCCTTTCTTGCGCAGCGTGCACAAAGAAAAATATTATTCTATTGTTAAGATAAATAATTATCTACTCAATTTACTTTCCTCTTTTAACTGTTATCTTTAACAAAGAATATTTTCTTGATAATAAAAATCTTAAAATATAATTATTACTAATTTAAAAAATACTTATTACCATACAACTCAAAACAAGAATTTTTTTTAAGAATATTATAAAATTGATTGAAGAAGTGATTTTATATAATAAGCAAATCAAATTTGTTTTAATTTAATAATCTTGATTGAAGTATTAAATCCTAGGATTCAAAATTAAAGTATTAAACTAGGATTCAAAATATAATTTAAATAAGTTTGCTAATGCTTGTGATGAACTTACGATTTTAGATTTATAGATATGTAAAGTTTTTGAAATACTTGAAACAAGTAATTATTATTCGCACACAGTATGCACTTTACTGCGTGTATCGATGCTACTGGCTAATTGCGACAATTACCGCTATCATGTACAGCTGAGCGATTCGATACTCCTCTACCGTGAGAGGCAACGGTATGCGATACTCCTTGATCAACATTTTGTCGGAGCCTGTCCTGTATCACCCGTGCATCTTCGCAAAGTGCATCTCCCCTTCAGATATACTGAAGGACGCCGCCGCGTTCGACGTTTTCGCGACATCTCGAGAGGTTTTTCTCGCCGAGGATCACGAGTGATGTCTCCATTTTGCGTCGTCAAGTATAATCTTCTGCAATGGAAGAAAGAAGATATCTTCATATCGCGTTACATCAAACGGTCTGAATTTAAAGTAGAGCGCTACGATTGCTTCACGGATAGTATTCGAGAACCTTCCGATTTCACGCGCTCATATCGCATAATAACGATCTTGATGCAATCGTCAGGATAATGGAACCCGCTTGGAAAAAGGCACCGACGGAAAGTAAATCAGTAAAGGGAAAAATAAAAGGCAAATACGAAAGAAAATAATTTCTTCGTCAAGGAAGTTACGCGGTTTACGAGTTGCCTTGATACAAATGATGGCATTTAAGTGCCAACATTTTTCATGAACATTCCAGTGAAACTTCATCAGAGCGAGAAGCAACCTATTTCTCGCATTGATGAAGTGAACTGTAATGTTCACATTGGCACTCGATGATATAGATATTTAAGATACGGAGATAATCCGTAAATCTCTTTGAAGGAAACAAGGAAGCCTCAAAAGTATTATCGATAATCTATCTTCTACTATCTATACCGAGAAAAATGATTGATCGGATTAATTGAAATTCTGATTGAAAATGGATGAATTAGAATTTCCTAGTTAAATCTTACAATTAATATAAATATACAAATAATAGAATACTAATTATGATAATCCAGAATTCTGATTGATATAATCAAAATTTTTCGTTTCGTCCATTTTCAACCAAACATTTTGCTCAGTGTATCGTCTATTGACTATTCTATATTCTTACAAGCGTCATACTTCATGACGATTCGACAATAATATCGACATATTGATAAACACTGCCGCTTTGAAACAATCGTGTAACAAAAGTGTGTTCTTTCAACTGTGAGAAACTGGGTTGCATAATTAAAGGATAGTTTAGAATTGAGAATGAGCTATGCGACTTTAATTACAACTCGTTTATTTACAAAAAAAGTAAAAAATGAAGAAAATTAATAGGTACCGAGAATTTCTATTATTATACCCGAGCTGTGCGAACGTTTGCTACTGGAATTTTTTTGATTAATTAAGTTCTTTGATAGCTCGTCTTGATTGTAGGATTCGCGTTGTGGTGAACATTAACTACGTCGATCGTATCGCAAGCTCAGCGATACGTAAATATCGCATCCTTTTTGACGCGAATGTTTACTGTGCCGGAAATATTCGTAGTTCCGGTGCTTAATCATAGTTAAAAGTAGCCATTAATAATCAACGCGGACAATATAAATCCGTGTCTAAAATATAAAAGGTTTAAATTGGCGTAACTGGGTTTTTATCAATGCATTTAGTAAACAATACCTATTTATACAAATATATTATACAGGTGAATATGGCCTTGGTACATAAATGATTTGCCAAACGAAATAATAATTGTGTACAGCATTGAATAATGAATTAATGTTTACACATATTTCCAATGCAAATCAAGAATTATTAATTACATTGTCAACAGTCATATAAATTATCATATAATTTCAATATTTTTATTTTATTTCCTTCATTTAAAATTAAAATATGTATACCACATTCTGAGGCGTTTCTTAAAAATATCACTGCGTATCTCAAGTACATTATTATTTGTACAAATTTTTTCAACAGAAAAACAATTCGTTATAATTTAATACTTCTAAAGATATCACATTTTAATTCGTTCTCCATTGTCTATCGTTACTCCTGTAATTTTGCGCGAAAAATATTGCTTTATGAAAATCGCCAATACCGTTGATTTCCAACGAATAATTCACGATAGGAAGCAACTGCGTTCTCGTATCCAGACAGAAGCAACAAAACGATACGCAAAATGTTTATTTATACGCGAGTCAGCTCCTGCGTGCGAAATTAGCAGCCGGCAATTACGCGGTACAGATCGTTGCAAACTTCGTATTCTGTATTCATGAAACTACGAACGCTCCTGTAAACACATACCCACGCATACACGCATACACACGTATAAGATACACCCACCCACAAACAAAATTGCAAACTTTAATCGCCGTGCTACGAGTTCCGTACGAATGCACGTTTACTCTGTGCGAGCGGTAGATGTCGATGATAACATCGGACACACCAACGCACGGCGCAGTTTCCGGAGTTACTTTCGGGCTTTTACATCTTTCCCGTGTCCCGATTAAAGTTCGCTTCGCAGAAGTGAGATACACGGAATCTGGACGCGAGAACACGCGTGTCGCTTCGTCGCTCCAATCCGGAGAAATTTGCGATTACGTTCGCTAAACGGTAATTGATCCTTTAATCGCTAAATTCATTCGTCGCTTCACTCGAGCGCGAAAAATTGCAAAGGGAATTCAATTTGTGTAGCTTTTGCACGCGAATTTCAGTGAATGAGTTTGATTTTTACCTTAAAAACAGTTTTCTATTAAATCATTTTTAACTACAGATAAAAAAATAATTTAATAAAAAATAATTTACGTATAATTGTATACGTATATAGTACATATTATATATGACATTTTCAGAAATAAAGCGCGCTAAAATTATTATTAGTCAAAACAAAATTGTTAATTTAATAAAAAAAATAAGTTTTAAGTGACAATAAATGAGATGTGGAGCAGATTACTGAAGTTAATAATAAATTGCGAGGAAAGCATTTAAAAAAAAATCTTAGTAAATATAATCCCTTCAAATATAACTTATTTTTACAACAATAAATTAATGTACATTGTCGTATTATGTTTATTACGATCCTTTTTCGAAATTGTAAAGGGTATAGCATTACTTCTCACAGAAGTAACAGTATCGCGACGATATAAACTCAAGAATTGTTTTAAATCTCAACATCAAAACAAAAAAAAATAAAGAAAGGTACATAAAACTCATACGCGTTGCAATCAATTAAGAAACATATTCATGCATTAATTTTTCTACCGTAGACGTCAATTCGATTAAGAGGAAGGAACGTACGAAAGCTTTTGAGAAAAAAAGGCGGGCGGCCTAAATTACCGAAAAAAGGGTTAAACAATGACGTCGAATGATGCGAATGATGTCACAGCGGGGCCGGCGGGGGCGCGATTGAAGGGTACTAAGGGGGGCGGCTCGACGACGATGGGGCTAAGTGACAGCGAAAGACACACACATAAACACACGACACACGACACGCGAACACGGCGACGCGTCGCCACCGACTGAACCAGACCGAACCACTGAACTGACAGCGGAAGTGGAGGAAGGCTGCTCGATTGGCGGCGCGATCGCACGCGCGACTCGTCGTCGTCGAACCCGCGAAATCGCTGCCGGCCAATCGGAGCTCGCACCTCGCGACCCGACGAGCCCGCGGGCAGGGCCGTAAATTAAACGGCGCCAATAAACAAACGTGTTATTTTACAACAAAGAACTCGCACGCGTACCCCGCCGTAGTTTACGCACGTCACATGGTTGAGGAGATTTACATATTGGTGGTCCGGGCGGCGGCTATCTCTTTTTTCCCTCAATTATGAAAAGATTTAAAAGACTCATTTATGTATACTGTAACAGTATCGTTGTTTGCGTGTAAGGTACACATTAAAAAATTCTGCATTTGCATGCTTTTACATTTTACACGATGTATCACCAGTTCACATTTTATATCGTAACGTATGACATAAAAGTGTACCAGTAATATCTCTCGTGTAAGAACGAATGAAATATCGCAAAAGCAATTTGCTGAAGAATACTTCATGAAGAATCGCTTCTCGTAATCGCGTAATGACGTTGAAAAGATTAATCTCAAAGATTAGCAAGATTTATCTTCAAATAATGCGAAAGACAATCGACACATTTACAGATCTCGTATGCGCAGATCTCCGAAACGAGAGGAGTGTCGTGACGATTCAAGTCGTAATGACAGCTCGAAGATAACTCCACCTCTTATCTACGTGGCGGATATAGGTATGTGAGATCTCGCCGGGGATCGTTTCCAGATAATGGAGACGTGATACCGGAGATTGTTGTTAGATAATAGAAATGTGACGCCGGGGTGGTTAACTCGCCACTGCCCGGACAACCACCGTCCTCCACCGCCACCCGGTCTATTGATCGCCCCCGTACGACCAAGAAGGCGCGAGACCAGCTGCGCCACTCGCGCGCCGGCGAACCTCCGCGAGAAGGCGAGACCAAAAACGGCGTCGCGACGTCGACCGCGACGCCGCGATACCGGCGTGCGAGTCTTGTCTCCGTCGGAGTCACTTTAAACCCTTTCGGGATATTCGTCGATCCAATTCGACAGCGAGATATCTTGAAAATATCTTGCACCTTTCGACACCTGTTCCGAGTCTAAATTTCCCCGAAGGATTCCACAAGTACTTACATTGCACGGAAAAATATTATTCTATTGCTAAGAAAAATGGTTACTCGATTCACTTTTATGTAACGATTATCTTTAACAAAGAATTTGATAATAATACTAAAATATACGTGTGTTACAAATTTTAAAAATACTCATTATGTATTCAAAACAAGAATTTATTTTCTTTTCAAGAATGTTATAAGACTGATCGAAGAAACGACTTTATGTAATAAGCAATTTGTTTTAATTTAATAATCTTAATTGAAAGATTATATAAATTTAATATAGGATTCAGAATGTATTTTGAATAAATTTGATGCTTGTGATGAAGTTTTATAATAAATTTGCAGAATATGAATTTTTAAACAAGCAATTACTTGCGTAAGTACAGTGTGTATTTTTTTATACATCTTTTAAAATCTCAAAATTGTAAAGAGCCGTTGTTTCCCAATTCTTTTACAAGCTTAAATTTAATAGACTAAAACGATCTATAAAACACGCAGAAAAATAGAGTCTCGATGCTGGAAGACAAAATAATGTAAGAGAAACAATTTTAACAAAGCGACTCTCTAGGAATTTTTTTTATTTAAACTTTTATACAGCGATTTCAAACAATTATTTTCATAATAATTTCAAATAAATAAATGTCATCGAATCGTAAGTAATGAACGAGCTGCAATTACTTTACGCAATCGAGAGTCTTGCTCCAATTAAAATTTAACATTTCACATGTAATATTTCT